CATGCATTTAAAGTCACACACACACATTATGATAAAATGATAACAAAACGACAAACAACACAATGACATGATTTTATGTTTAAAAATTGAAAAAAGTATGTATAAAAAAAGAATTCGCATAATAAAAATATGTATAAAATAGAGAGAAAAAAGTAGAAATTCTGTTTGGAAATTTCTATAAACAGGTGTGGTATCCTAGTACTTTATTTTTTGTTTGTTGCAGACCAGTGTTGCTAAACTAAATTGTGTTTTTAACCTTAAATATAAACAAAATTTAATGTAAGGAAAATCTTAGCAAACTAAATTTTCAAACATTTTCTGGCAACTCTGTTTTTTATATAACCTAGGTAAGAAGTTGTGTTGTGTTTATTTTGTAAAATAATGTATGTAGTTGTTCTGTATTTTGTATTATTATTGTTTGTTTTTGAAGGATAATAAAAAAGGATGAACTGACAATTCATTGACATTTTCCAAGATCATAGGCATACGTCCAAACGTATAAACACAGAAAAAACAAGAACATCAACATTATCAACAATATTAAATAATATGGTAAACATAATAGGAGAGCTTATATAGGATCATAAAGTTTTAGCCTCGACTATTTTTATTTTCTAATTTATTTACATATGCATATGAGATACATATTTGGAGAAACAAAATACAATACAGCAAAAGTTAAAATAAAATCTATATTTATAACTACTGGACGAATGAGTGATATTTAATTGATTTAAAAATAAAAATATTTCATACGCCCTGGAGAGACAAAATATAAAAATAAAAAATCAACAAATTTTTACTGTAATTTAATTGTGTCACCTCAGGACGTATGATGTATTTTTAATGTGTAGTGAATCATACTCCCAGTAGTTATAATGGAAACTCAATACATACACACATGCATACATATGTAAATATGTATGTATATTGTCTGGCTTTCGATTTCACAAGACTTAATGTAAAAACGATCGATATCACATTGTCTTGATGATCTCGTTTCATTTTCGAACAAAAAATTTAATCCTTTTGACATAAAAATAGTTTTAATATTGACTTTAGTCAATTCTAAGTTATAGAATTGTCATAACTATGGACTGACTATAGACTTGTCTTAAGTCTTTACTATACTCTTGTCTATAGTTTTGACTATATTCTATCTCACATTTTGTCTTATAGTAATCTATCCTATTCATAGTCTGGATGGTAGATCTTACTATAATCTGGCTTCTCCCCGGACATGTTACCTTGATGAACCTCCTCATCTCGGAGTGATTGCAATCTGGATACTTCTAGTACCTCTAGTTTGCCGGGACTACAAAATTGTTGTGTAAAATGTCTCCTCGGCCTTTTCTTTGAATGATTTGATATGGGGTCGAACGAGAGAGCTGGTACCATGGGAACCGATAGCCCACAAGGCAGAGTTTCGAACGTTGTTTTGTGGTGCACTTGATTTAAACCAAAACTCCCTGAAAGAGAATGTTGTTTAAAAGATTGTTACACGGTGAAATCAATATTTCAATATATAGATCAGTGCTGTTGCCGAAAAAGACAACAGTGAGTGACTGTGGGGCTAAGTGTTGGGAATGAGGCCTCACCCACCCGTATATCTAGAATGAGTGTGTTGGATTTTTTTTTTCAATGAAATTGTCGGATAAATGATAGAAGTAAGGTATCTTATACAAGTGGTACACTTGAAATTTCGTTCCTTGAGGCTAAGATTTCAGGGTAAGATTTACATTTATTTTTTTTAATTTTGCAAGAAAGTTCAACTATTTACCAACCTAATATACATGCACATGTATGCGTGAATACATAACATGCCACAACTAAAATTAAAACTAAATTTTACTAAAATAACTAAAATAATTACAAAAACCATAGATATTTATAACCTTATTCTTAAAAGGTAATATCATTATTTCATCTTATTTCCCTTCTTGTTAACATTTTTACATTTCATTAAGTAAATTTAACTTTTTCGTCATTTTACAGAATAAAAGTTATTGTTATAAATATGTACTTAAAATGCCAGACAATTTAAGTAGAGCGTTATATTAGCAGTTAGAGCAGTAGCAACTGCCGCTGCAGCTGGCAATGATGTTGATGATAAAAATGATGACGCTTTTAGTTGCATTGATGATGCTATTGTTGTAGGAATTATTGATGCGGACAATGACGATAATAATGATGATGCTACAAAATATTTGTGCATATAATTTTTACAGAAAATTATTTAATTCTCTAACAAAATAAATACTCTTTAGATTAATAGTGATAATTGGTCATAAGTTACATTACCTTTGATGTGTTAAGTAGTCAGTTCAATAAATTGGAATCATTTTAGTAATTAGACATGAGTGAGAATTAATAATTTAAATGTATACAATGATCACTTATAAAACTGCAGGGTAAAATATAAATATATGAACACCTAAATAGAACAGTATGACTAAGAGATTATAAAGTACAATTTTTAAAGGGTTCAAGGTCTTGCTTGTATCATTCAGATTCTCCAAAAAATAATGCTGATATGCAGAAAATTTATTATTCAATTCATTGCAATTATTTTTACCAAATTGTAGTATTTGTCACGAAGTCTCCACTTTCCGTGGAACGTGCAAGAGAATTTTTGTAATAAGCTGACGTTAGCACTTTTAATTATACACATACAGACAAAAATACCTTCATGAGTATGCACAATTATTTATTAGGGTTGAGTTCTAAAATGTAGTGATCCGGAGATGTGCACCGAACTAGAACTGACCTGGATCTAATCTGGAACTGAATTAGAACTCAACTATAATGTTCCCTTGGACTCCATGAAAAAATCTATTTGTCTTAAGAAAATCGCTTAAATGTAAATATATTTATGTATGCAACATTGATCAGCTCCAATTTTAGATGGAGTTAACCATATTGGTAAATGAAGCTTCCGATTATTTAAGATTATTTGTATAAATACTTGTATAAACTTATACATATGTAGATACTTCTGTCACATGTCAAATATGCTTTTCGTATATGCATACATATAAATATACATATGTATGCATATACTTATCTTTATGCACATAAATTATTTAAAAATTGCACTTCAGTTTTTATTTTACAAAAAAGTTAGAATGAAAAACTGGAGTTTTTTTATATAAATTGCATTACATGCATATGCATGTATGTATATGTTCTCATCTATATGTATATATTTATGTTATATTTTACCTCGCAAATGTAAGAAATGAAAAAAAACTAGGCCGCTGACCTGACGTTTTCGAGTTCTCTACTGACGTCATGAATGAACTCATTCATGTTAGCAAAACGTTGTATTTTTATATTTCCCCCCTCTTCTACATTCTCACTTTTTTCTCACACACTATTTTAAACAGTCGTTTTTCTCCTGATTTGAGTAGCACCACTATATAATAAGAGATTGTTGCAACAATAAGTTGTACATATTTACATACTTATATAAATTTTGCTAAATCTTCGATAGGGAAGCTGAACTGTTAGCTCCAGCTTTAGTTGTTTGGCTGCTTGAGTGTTTTTTAAATTCCCGGGTTTATTAGATTTTGGGTGAATTTTTGTGAATCGTTTATTATTTCATCTCATTATTTTAAAATATTTCTTCTTTTGTCATCATTATTATAATTTGTGTTTTCTAATACGCTTTTATTTGCCACTATGATGGTATCTATGTGAATACTAAAATACCATTTCCAATTTCTTATATTCAAATGATTAATTTTGGGAATATCGTATAGTGGAATTCATGGTTCATGTAATTCATTTTAACTTTCAATATTCTTTTACAAATATTTGAATTGTCATTAAGACCGTGTTTTGTGTAAATCTAAATCGTTCCTCTATATTTTAAAACGACCGTTATATAATAGCTCTCAAATAAAATATGTTTTAATTTAATATATCGGTGTTAAGGTTAAGTTTCTAAAAATGTGAAAAAATGTAATGAAAATTTTCAAAATTCAAGTGGAAATGGTGTAGTTTTATACTTGCTTTGAAGGGTATCATGGGTATCAAATACAATTGTTTAAATTTAACCTCAAATAAAAAGTAGACTGCATGCACTATGGCATGTTAAGTAAGTAAAGGGGACACATAATGTTTGTTTAAACTATATACACCACTTTTTTTAGTTTCAGTTTTTGGAAAAAAAAATAAAATAGTGCAACCATTAAGATTGGTAAAGTTTTTAAATATTAATGAAACCTTTAACAAAATCTTAAATTTATACTTAAATTACACTTTTCTAGAAATTGTATATAATTCTTTTGAAATTCGTCTTAAGTGTCCTCTTTAAAATTATAAACGTAATACACTCGGTGACACATTTTAAAATGATTTAAGCACAATATTCGTAATCGATTTTTTTTATATGTTCAAGTTTATTTTTTTAAATTGTATCTGCATTCTGTTTGTCACAACAAAATCATAGGTATAGAATCACGTATTTTGAGATACACATGTTTAATATATATTTTGAACAATGCTTGGGTACTTCCTCTTCTTCTCTTTTACAATAAATTTATTTTTAGAATTAAAAAAGGAAAAATACAAGTTTTTTATTTAAGGACATTTATTATTAACACATACATATATGTATAATTACATATGTATATGTTAGTTTGCTAGCAATGACATAAATATTGCTATTTATATAAATGGACACATTTTAAAATAATAATATAATTATTATTTAAAATGGGCTGGTACCATCGCAGTTAAAAAATCATATAAAAAAAATTAAATTTAATTCGATCTGACATAATATTTATATTTATTGTATATGTAAATATTTTAACGAAAACTACTATAGCATTCTAGTTATAATTTGTATTTTAATATTTATTTTGAACGCCTACTTTTCTAAACAGTGGTTATAATTTTCATTCTTTATAAGTTTGAACAAAATATTGTTAAAATATATGAATTTATCCTAAGAAATCAGTACTAATTTAGTTTATTTTTTTGTTTATTTTCAGTATGCAATTTTATAATACACGAAAGATGTGTCACAAATGTGGTAACTCCTTGTTCTGGCATTGCACCATGTATTATTAAGGTAAATATTCTAATTTATTTATAATCACAACAAAACAATATAATGGCTTTTGAAAAATTATTTACAGAATCCTGTTGCGCATTGTTGGTCAGAACCAACAACTCACAAGAAGAAATTTTGTACAGTATGTCGCAAACGCTTAGATGAAACACCATCCGTACATTGTATAGGTAAGTAACTAGAAATAACTAGAACTGGACATGAACTGAACGAGAACTGAATGAGAACTGAACTAGAACTGAACTAGAACTGAACTAGAACTGAACTAGAACTGAACTAGAACTGAACTAGAACTGAACTAGAACTGAACTAGAACTGAACTAGAACTGAACTAGAACTGAACTAGAACTGAACTAGAACTGAACTAGAACTGAACTAGAACTGAACTAGAACTGAACTAGAACTGAACTAGAACTGAACTAGAACTGAACTAGAACTGAACTAGAACTGAACTAGAACTGAACTAGAACTGACCTAGAACTGAACTAGAACTGAACTAGAACTGAACTAGAACTAAACTAGAACTGAACTAGGACAGAATATGAACAGAGCTAGAACATAACTAGAACGGAACTAGAACAGAACTAGAACTGAACTAGAATTGAACTAGAATGGAACTAGAATTGATCTAGAACTGAAAGAAATGAAGTAGAACAAAATTTAAATAAAAAATACTTATTAATTTCGTAATTTTCTCTTTTACAGTTTGTGAATATTATGCGCATCTTGAGTGCCAAGATTTTGCTGTACCTGATTGTACAGAAAATGCCACCTATGTACCCGGCAAGGAGTTGTTAAATGTTAAGCATCAAGTAAGTTCCAAAAGTCATAAAGTGACATTCACCATTACAAAACTGGGTCTATCACATTTACAAATATTTATATGTAAACATTATCATCTTTAAATTAATTAAAATTCCTTTCTCATTTTTTCCAGCATCACTGGCGAGAAGGCAATCTACCATCAAATTCAAAATGTGTTTATTGCAAAAAGACCTGTTGGTCCTCCGAGTGTCTAACAGGTGGGTTAACATTTTAAATAAAAAAAAAAACAATTTCCTAATTTTCCAATAATCTTCCTAATAAGGTTATCGTTGCGAATGGTGTGGTTTAACCACACACGCTGGATGTCGCATGTACCTGCCAACCGAATGTACTTTCGGTTGTTTACAACCGATTTATTTACCTCCGCATTGTGTTTCAATTCCACGTACCGAGGTGCCAATTAAAGAAATAATGGGTGTTAGAAAAACAGAATCCGAATCAAATTTAGTTCGTGAATATTCGTGCCGTAAGTAGAACTATACGTTTATTTATGTAACACAAAATGTTGTGACACGAAGCCTTAAATAATCAACAATTTAATAATTATATTGATGTGAAAACAAATTTGTTGTAATCATGAGCAGCAAAATCAAAACCAACAAACACAAATCAAATTCATTATCACCTTAATCACGGACATTTCTAAAACAATAAAAACGATTAATTTTTATTTTAATAAAATTTTAATTCTTTCTTTTAAAATCAGAACAAACATTCATCACCATTAAACTTATTTTCCAAAACAAGTATTTTTATAGAATTTTCGATGTCTGTGTTCTATTTTTTGTCTAAATTGATGTTGTAGAAATTAAAACGCCCTGAAGCAATTTCATCCATACTTCATAAATTTCATAATTACTACATTTTAATCATTACATGTTTACACACTTTTTTCAAATTTTTTTAAAAATTATTTGAATTAATAAAAATCATGTCGAATTTCAAAAATCATTTGTAAGAAAGAGAAAAAACAATCATAAATATTTCAACACTTTTTATATTTTTTTTATATAATTTTTTTTCTCTTGTATTATAGTTTGATTTTAATTTTAGTTTAAGTAAACTTTGCAGATGTCTTTTTAATATTTAATATGTTTATAAACTATAACAGAATTAGAACTGAACAAATCTGAACAAGAACTGAACTCGAACTAGAACTGAACTAGAACTGAACTAGAACTGAACTAGAACTGAACTAGAACTGAACTAGAACTGAACTAGAACTGAACTAGAACTGAACTAGAACTGAACTAGAACTGAACTAGAACTGAACTAGAACTGAACTAGAACTGAACTAGAACTGAACTAGAACTGAACTAGAACTGAACTAGAACTGAACTAGAACTGAACTAGAACTGAACTAGAACTGAACTAGAACTGAACTAGAACTGAACTAGAACTGAACTAGAACTGAACTAGAACTGAACTAGAACTGAACTAGAACTGAACTAGAACTGAACTAGAACTGAACTAGAACTGAACTAGAACTGAACTAGAACTGAACTAGAACTGAACTAGAACTGAACTAGAACTGAACTAGAACTGAACTAGAACTGAACTAGAACTGAACTAGAACTGAACTAGAACTGAACTAGAACTGAACTAGAACTGAACTAGAACTGAACTAGAACTGAACTAGAACTGAACTAGAACTGAACTAGAACTGAACTAGAACTGAACTAGAACTAGAACTGAACTAGAACTGAACTAGAACTGAACTAGAACTGAACTAGAACTGAACTAGAACTGAATTAGAACTGAACTAGAACTAAACTAGAACTAAACTAGAACTGAACTAAGACTTAACCAGAACTGAACTAGAAACACAAAATAACTATTATTCGTCACTTTATCGTGTACTTTTTTAATCATTAGTGAATAATTCGGTATCCAAATTAAAGTAATATCTTGGCGTGCCCAACATTCATTCTCTCACAAGTGTTTCTAATTACCAAACTTATTTTAAGTTTCTTCTTTTCAGAATCTGCAAATTTTTTACAACTTTTGTACATATTTTTGTTGTGTTAAATTTCTCAATATGTTTCACTATCTTTTAATTTTAATTGCTTTCGTTTTCTCTGAAATAATTCTTTATTTTTAATTTATTTTTATTTTTCCCTCTTTTTTATTTAACCTCTTTTTCCGATTGTTTTGCTTTTTGCGAAAAAAAACAAAAAAAAAACTTCCTTTTGAAATATCTAGCCGATGAATTTGAAAATATTGAAATAGCTGATTTAATAGCAGACGATATTAGTCACGATCAGCGTATTATTGACGAGAGAAAACGAGCCGATAGTACACCCGATTTAAGTTTAAGAGAAATTTTATTATTACAAAGACAACGTTTAGAACAATCAAAACAAAACTTTTTTCTTTCATCTTCACCCTCTTCGTATGCACCCTCACCTATACCGACAATGATAGCGGGCGATATGACCTCTTCGACACTGGCAGCGGTTGCGGATGTTATGGAAAAAGGTTTAGATAAAAATGATGATGGTGATATGGAGTGTGACGAAGCAAAAGAGCGGACCGGAGAAGGCGAAGAGCAAAAAAATCAAAACGATATAGATGATATAACTGAGTTGGATGTGAATGATGATAGTGCTTTACAGTTGACCCAGACCACAAATACTACATACTCCAAACACAATAAAAAATGCCAAAATACAAAAAATATTACAAAATCTCCCTCTGCCTCGTCGTCTTTGCATTTATTTTATACGAATATAGTACGTAAGATACCATATCATGGAAGACGAAAACATCTCTCCTCCAATACCGACGATGAGGACGAGGATGTGGGTGTTTGTGATGTCAGTGGAGGTGATATTAGTGATGATTATGATCATTGTGATGTGGCTCTAAAGAAAAGAGCAGCTGGTGCAAAACTCCAGGGACCAAGTGAAAGAGCAGGCGCAGAAGCTAGTGGAGCTGGTAGTGATTGTGACTATCATGGTGATGTAGAGGGCGAAACGGCACCACATGAAGGTTTCTATGAAACTTCCGATACTGGCGGGGAATTGACCACAACCGATGATATTGATTCAAGCATGAATCTTATAAGTAATTTAAGTTATAATAGTAGTAATAGCAATACATCTATAGACAATCGTAGTAGCATAGATAGAAGTAAAAATGCACACAACTTGAAATTGTCTTCGGGGGTACCGCTGCCAAAAAAGCGTAATCATCCGATGACAGTTAACACTGCCTTAGGTGTGCACAGTAGTAGTAGTGCAGGTGCTGCTGGAAAACCAACCTCACAAAAGACTGGAGCTATAACAAAGACCACAAAACCTATACTCTGTCCACCAAAAGGACACTCTACAGGCGGTTCTGTAAGCTCACCCAATTCAAGTGATTGTTCTTCAGCTTCACCCATACCACCACCAACCACGGGAAAAACGCTTTCCTCACTACCGGCTCAACTGTCGCCGGTAGGTCGCAGTAAATCGTTTCAAGAGCCCGGTGTAAAATCACACTCACCCAGTCCGCGTCACAAGAAATATGCCCGTTTCTTTCAACGTCGTCGTTCGAAACGTTCCAATGGCGGAAAGTGCGAAAGTAAAAATATCCATAGCAACTATAGTCTTGATACTATGTATCAGAATATTGAAATTACCATACAAGATGAGGATGGCAATTTTCAGCCTTACGACGATAATTACGATACCTACAAATGCAGACGCCAAAGGCGTAGTGATGATCTCGTTAATGCCGATGACTACGACGACGACGATGAGGATAGGGAGGTGTTGAAAGAGTATTCGCAATTTTTGGACAATCGTTTAAGGCCTCATTGTCATACAATGTATGGCGGTCATAGTGATGATGCTGGCGGTGATATAAGTGATGCTACCAGTTCACGCAGTCGTTCACGTCTCAGTGATAATGAGCATGTTTTTGGCAAATTACTAAAACGTATGCGTCGTTTGTCATTGGGTTGGCGTAAACCGCGCTATCATAAACGCAGAGGTGATTTAACTTGCATAACTTAAAAACTATACCTTTAAAAAGTTATTTTTGTTTTTGTAAAACTGAATTACCAATTTGGTATTTCCCAAAAATTAACCGCATTTATTTTTTTCATTTTGTTGAATTGGATTTGTTTTAAATTTTATTTATATATTTTTTTATTTATGTATATTCCTTTATATTTCTAACCATTTTGTTTTTTTATTTATTACTTGTTTTTTTACAAGATTTTGTTTTTTAATACTTTTTTTTACAAAATTAACCAGCAATTAATCATTCATTAAACTGTTATGAAAACGTTATTTTTTGTATTGGCACACTGTTTTCTAACTCATTCCTACCATTAAAAGTGTCTAGGAAAGAGAAAAAGAGAGGTTATAAATGAAAATTACACTCATATTTTCTCATTTACTAACATTTAGTATCAGCTTTTTAGGTCTATCATTGGACACTAATCATTTCAACTTTCATTTAACTATCAAAACTAACCATCATTATGCATGTTTATTGTAAAGTTTTTAACTTAAAATTATATTTACAGTTGTTATGTATGAAACTAATAAATTGATTTGAGGGAAAGCTTAATATGTCTTAAAGGTTTAGGTTTTATAAGTACACTCGGACCAGGGTTGGCCATAATCATTGTTCATTTTTGAAAGCGTTTGTATGTTACACCGAATATTGTTCGTGTTCCGGAGAAATATTTTAACATCTAATTTGAAGTAGATGGAAGTTGTGATCGTGGAGTATAATTTTCGGAATATTGTGGACCTTGAAGAAGCTTCTAAATTTTTACTAAATATTTTATCCCTAACACATCCATAACACATAGGAAAACGGAGAAGATATTGTGGAATCTTAGGGAGATCAATTACGATCATGCCTCATTCCTTTCAAATCTTTATATTTAAATATAAAGATTCATTAGGCGATTGAACCGTAATAGGTAAACGTCGGATATATATAAAGATTCATTAGGCACTAGAACCGTAATAGGTAAACGTCGGATATATCGAGTTCAAAATTCCCACAATATATTTGGGTTCAATTGATAATTATATCATACCAACAAGGTTTATCGAAGATTTTTGACAAAATCTCAGAACTTGGATTGATCACTAATTTTACCAAAACAAAGTTTATATCATTTCAGCAGAAGAATTTAAATGTCAGATTGTTTTTTCTGGTTCGTGAGTCCGTTTTCCATTGAGATCCATATCCGTTATCAGTATATAAAAATATCTTATTTACCGAGTTATTGTACCTAAAAGGGATTTGTTTTCCTTTGATGAGATAACTTCACTTCAGCTTAGTAGTTCTTTATACTCTTCAGCATATTCCTAGACAAGTTCATTTCTGTACTCGACTAGTTCGGTTTCTGTACTCGACTATGTTTCGTTAAGTCAGGGCTCGACTATGTCAAAAGTGACTTGCGTATATTGTTCCCGAAGTGGCATAGAAAAGAAAAAAGAGGGAAATAAATCAGAAACTTCTAGACAGATAATCCCTCGGCTACATGCCCGATGTGTCCTAAGGCCTCTGGCACAAGTTTGTTGAAGTGAGGATATTTCTGGCATTAATATCAACTAGTACTTCTATTAAACGGCCTATAAATATTTCTCGTATTAAGTAAAAATACCACACTTGCCATTCTGTAGGTATCCAGATTCGAAGCTAATCCTTCTCCACTTAAGTATGAATTAAATATTTCCTGAAAGATAAGTCTAAAATATAGAAACTTTTTTGAAGTAATAGTTAATCTTAGGACATGCTTTCCTATCGTATTTCTATTAATTTTTCTTTAAATAAATTTAACAAGTGAATGATTTTTATGCTAAACAAAACTAAAAAATTGGTATTATACTTAAGTAGCTTAAACGTACATATAATACGTACATTAACTGCCTTTTAACAGCTTATTTTTTCACTTTTATTTCCATATAACTAATAAGTTAAAAAAAATCTTTCTCAATATTTTTTTCACTAGCTCGGAGTATATCGGAAGAGTTTAGCAGTGGTGATACGCCTCGTTTTAAAGATGAAGAATCTGTGGATAGAATTGAGGCAATGGCCGTTGTGCCAGGCGGTAGTGCAGCTGGCTGCAGTAGTGGTGGTTCCTCATCGCATCATAGACCAGATTCACAATTAGGTCACAAATCGGATAAATCCGATAAAGAAAAGGAGAAGAAAGAAAAAGAACGTGAAGAAAAGGATATAGGTTAATATTTCATTTCAAATTTGATTATTAATTAAATAATAATTATAATGTTTTTGTTTAAAATTTTAGAAGCCATAAAAGTATTCGATGGCAACAATTCATTTAGACGTCAACTATATCGTGTCATTGTAGTACCTCGTACATACACTCTGGAACAATTGCTAACGACAGCACTTAGAGCATTTCATATCTCACGTGATCCAAGTGTGAGTAGAACATATTTATTTAAAAAAACTAAATTTTAAAAAATCTAGACTAGACTATAGACTAGACTATAGACTAGTCTATAGTCTAGTCTATAGTCTAGTCTATAGTCTAGTCTATAGTCTAGTCTATAGTCTAGTCTATAGTCTAGTCTATAGTCTAGTCTATAGTCTAGTCTATAGTCTAGTCTATAGTCTAGTCTATAGACTAGACTATAGACTAGACTATAGACTAGACTAGACTATAGATTAAACTATAGACTAGACTATAGGTAAAGCCGAGTGCACTCATTTATCTTCAGTAACGATTTTACAAACCCTTTCGATCTCTAAAACTAATATTCAATTAATATAATTTTCAGGCATTTTATTTAACTGATTTGTATGCACCAGCTGGTAATGAAGATGCACCATTGCAAGATCCTAATCCTGTTTTAAGCTTAAATCATTTGGAGGGTAAACGACCAGCTATATTTCTAAGGTTTCATGACAGAGATAATGGCTTTGTACGCGTTTATCCTGGCAAATTGCAATGCTCTGTTGAAGAGCCTTATGTTAGTGTTCCTGTCGATACCACGACCACTATTAAGGATTTGATACGTGATGCTCTCGATCGTTTTGGTTTAGCCGATAATCAAATCGATGACTACCGGTTAGTTTTGGCATTTTTTGAATTAGTAGATAAATTATAAATATTTGTTTGTCCTACACAGATGTTCCCAAGTATTATTAGATAGTGGTGTTACTGAACGCATTTTATCTATAACTGAACGTCCTTTGAATATTATGAAACAAATGGGCAAAGACTCTATACGTCAAATGGAATTGATGCGTTTCTATATGCAACATAGTCAAGATCCTCATGGTCCCAATATTGCTTTATTCGTGGGCAATCTAGATCCGGGCAAGTCTCAGCGCAAATATGAGGATTTCCTTAATAAATATTTAAATGAGGATAGTAAATTTACAAGTATTGGTCCAATCTATTATGAATATGGTTCGGTTGTCTTGACCTATGAAGATGCCCAGAAAGCGGTATGTTGAAATGATAAATTAACAATTTTAATATTTACTTATATGAAGTATTTTCTATTATTTATTTATAGGTAAGAGCTTTTTATATATTACGTGAAGTGCGTTGGGATGGTAAAGATCTGTTGGTAATGCTATTGCCAAATATTGAACCCAGCATGGTGCCGGCCGATATCAATCCTTTGTTAGTGTTTGTAAATGTTAAATCTGGTGGCTGTCAGGGTTTGGAATTGATATCGAACTTTAGAAAACTACTGAATCCATTTCAAGTATTTAATTTAGAAAATGGTGGACCATTACCCGGGTAAATCAACAGACATGTTAAAGCATTTTACAAATTGAAATTAATACAAACTTTATGTTTCAGTTTATACGTATTTCGTCATATTCCTCATTATAAAATCTTGGTGTGTGGTGGAGATGGTACCGTAGGTTGGGTGTTGCAGTGTCTTGACAATGTGGGTCAAGATTCAGAGTGTTCTAGTCCACCTTGTGCTATTTTACCGCTGGGAACAGGTGAGTTTTTTCTTTTCAATATCCTAAACATAATGCGAAAATATATATGATTGATTTTCTCGCAAAAAGGTAACGATTTGGCACGTGTACTCTGCTGGGGTACTGGCTATACAGGCGATCAGGATCCTCTTAGCTATTTGCGTGAAGTTATTGATGCTGAGGATATACGTTTAGATCGTTGGACTGTGGTGTTCCATCCGGAGGAGAAACCAGAGGAACAAACCATGAAGGTTACGACCAATACAACCGGTAAGAAGAAGAAGGCTCATCAAGCACATCTATCGCAACAAACAGATCAGCATCATCAAGAACCGGCCATTACATCGAGTGATAAATCAGGTCTTTTGATTACTCAAAATTTTTTCTTTTCTGAAAAACAACAAACTTTTTTTGTATACTTTCCTATATTATTTTCTATATATGGATTTTACTTTCATTTAAATGTTATTCTTTTTGTGTTCTAAACCAAAAACCAAACAAAAAAATAAGTGCCAAATTTTATTTAAACAAATCAAGAAAATCTAGTTTAACCGAAAAACTTAAATTTCCTTTTTTGAGTAGATAAAATTTGTGCTCTCTTTTTTTAACAACTTCCTGTCGTCTTCGTCTCGTTATATAACCGAAGTTCTAAAACCAAACTTTTCCCAAAATATTTAATTATTTTGAATAATCTTTTTTGTTGTCTTAAATCCATGTACAAACCAACAAAACTTTTAAATGTTTTTCTTAAAAAAATAATTGATGTTGTAACTAAAACTAAATTTAAAAAAATACTACATACATATTTTAAGAATATAAAACCGGTAATTGGTCTAAATAAAACTAAATAATGGATGGTTATGCTGCTAGTTTTGATGTGATCATAGATGTTTTGCTTTCAACATTATTGCATGTATTTTCATTTATTATTTCAAATTTTTAATTTTAAAACAAATATTAAAAAAAAATTAGTAAAAGCAGCTGATTTTTATAATAATCAGCTGTTTATAAAATAAATTGATTTCTTTGTAAATCATATTATCCTGTATATAGTTTTAAGGTTTACTCTAACACTGTCCGTCCGTTTGTAAAATTCTTCCATGAACTGATTTAAAGAAATATTTTTAAAAATCTTCAAACATATTGCATGCCACAATATTTTTTTATTAAAAAACTTTAATCAAAACCATTCATTAAATTCACTGTAATTACATTAACAAATAATATTAATTCACAGACGATTTTACGTTTAAAATATAAAACATAAATTGACATAATTAAATTTGATATGATCGTGTTTAGATCGTGGGTTACAACTTAAATCCGAGCAACTTAAATCCAAGTCCATTTGATTTATTGCAAAAACCTTTAAAGTTTTCCTCACTTATTCAGGTGATTTTGTGAATCCTGTGGATGCAAGTGGAGCTTTTCCTATCAAATTTGATTAGATCCGTTTGATGCGGTCTAGATCATCTGTCATTATTATAGTTTAGATGTTTGGAACATTTACAATTTAAATAACTGAGAGAAAATAACATTTTTAAGGTTTGAACTGATCAATCTGAGCCAAAAATATAGTTCATTGGTCAATTCATCAGTTAACAAGTTCTTTTCAAGAAAATAAACTTTTACTTAATACAACTGTCGTTATTTTTATAATCTTTGTTTCTAAGTGAAGATTCAATTATCGTAAGAACGAGTGACTTTGATTGGAGGAAGGGTTGTGAAAATTGCCGATCAATTCTCAAATCTGGTATATTATACGATTGAACCTCACTCAGTACTGGGACTCCGATCTTTATTGATTATTCGCAACGCAAATTCATTACCCAAGGGTTATTAAACATTCGATTACTGGAGCCCTAAGATCGTCCCATTACGAGATAATTAATTAGAAGGTAGATTTAGGGATTTATGTTTAGACTTGAACCTCGATAAAGAAACCTCAGACTAGACAAATATATAATATCATTTATTAATTTTGGGAATAAATGAGAAAGTTTTCAATTTTCTGCTTTCATTTATATTTCTAAGACAAAGATCATTGTATTCTATGTCCATTTATTGCAAAAGTATAGATCAGGGTCAATAACTCAGAATTATTAAGTTTGAATATGTTTTAACAGGGTTTTGAATATTATTATAAATATATGTAGAAATCCCATTTTAAATTCTCAAAATATCCCTCTACTACGATCAACAGTGTCAGTTCTGCTTATCAAATGATACAATACGCACATTACATCCCCACCCCGAGCTTTATAGCAAGAAAGATTTAAAGGTTAAGATCGTTTCATCCTAGGATTTGAGAATTCACAGACTTTTCAATTTCCCGGGAAACGGGAAGAAAATACCCTTTTTCCCAGGAATCCCGAGAATTTATGTAAAGTATAATTCATAACTATAATAACAATAATTTTTACTAAAACTTACTACTTTTATAAGTTTAACGATAACTAAAGTAGTTTCTCTGTCTTTTAAGAACCCTAAACTCTAGAGCCGAATATTTTTTAATTAATCAGCTGTCCTTTAAGAAACATCTGATGGAACATGCTACTAGTATATGGATGTGTGGTCTCTCACAAAAAAATCTAGTCGAAAACCTAATCATTTTAATGCCCTTTCTTAGAGGCGTAAACAGTAACTGAAACTATCTATATTTGGAACTTTGATAATGTTAAATTAAAAATTCTAATCAGGTTCTAATTCTAAATAAAATTGTTTACAAAAGAAATCGTTTGTGAATTAACGCCTCATAACAATAAGTATTGTAAAAGACTTTTTTATAATATTTATATAATTAATATTAATTTTTTTTCTCCTACCACCAAAACTCTTCTAAAATAATAGATTATAATCATTATAAAAACTATAATATATTTTTTTAAACATTTCCCCCAATAATAGGTGCCGCAGATGATGAGTGTGAGGGTACGAAAAATGAGGATAATACCCAGATATTTGTTATGAATAATTACTTTGGTATTGGACTCGATGCGGATCTGTGTCTAGACTTTCACAATGCACGCATGGAAAATCCATTTAAATTTAATTCACGTCTCCACAACAAGGGTGTGTATGTGAAAATGGGTCTGCGTAAAATGATGACACGTAAATGTACAAAGGATTTGCAAAAGGAAATGCGTTTAGAGGTCGATGGCAAAGTAGTTGAGTTGCCGCCATGTGAGGGCATTATTATATTGAATATATTAAGGTGGGCATTAACTTTTAAATCAAATTATTATTAAGAGAAATAATAATATTTTGTTTTTGTGTGTTTTTTGTCGTAGTTGGGGAAGTGGTGCTAATCCTTGGGGACCTGATAAGGATGATCGTTTTTCACCACCCAATCATTATGATGGTCTGTTGGAAATTGTTGGTGTTACCGGTGTTGTACATTTGGGTCAAATACAATCGGGCATACGTTATGCTAATCGTATAGCTCAGGTATTTATAACATTTATTTATTACATATAATTTCGAATTGTTGTTATTAATATTTGTTTGGTATTGTTTTCCAGGGTGGCCATATTAAAATGCATTTACATTCTGATTTACCTGTACAAGTTGATGGTGAACCTTGGGTACAATGTTCCGGTGATATTGTGGTTTTAAAATCTGCTCTAAGGGTAAGTCATTTTCCATTTTTACTATAACTTTTATAGTTTATGAAGTTTTCTTTTGTTTTATTTTTTTGTTGGAAGAAAACTGTTTCAATTAACGCATGTTTTGCATGTTCTTTTTTCCCAATCAATGAAACTGAACGAAAATTGGAAACAACTAAAAGTTTTTTTAAATATTGTTTGGCTTTTTATTAAATTTAGTTATATTTGTTTCATTAACAAACACTACTTTGCAACACCCGACCAATTTTGATTTTTTTTTTGCTTTTATGCTTTTTAAATTTGTTTGATATTTGTTTATTAAACTTATGTTTTATTTAAATTTTTTTTTTAATAATATGTTAACAAATTTACATAAACTATTAGTTAAAACTATAAACAAATAAGAAAACATTAATATTTTACAAAACAATACAGAAATAATTCAATACATTGATGTAATGTTATATTTTTTAATTGCAAACGTGTATTTTAATGTTTTAAATATTCCCACTTGTTTTTTCAAATGAAAATAATTAAAAAAAAAAAAAATACATTTATAACTAGACACATTTGTAGATAAAAATATAGAAAGGGATGGTTTAAAACTTTAATCAACTGTGGACTCAAATTTATCAGTTAGAATTTTCGTTTTATTTCAAAATATTTCTTAACTACAAAGTTAAAGCTTGTAAAAGGTCGTCGGCTTTCCGTAAATGACTCTCACATATACCTCTAATTTATTAATATCCTTTTTGACTTTCACCTTTAGAAGTTTTTATAAATATCGATGAATAATACTTCGACATGGTTACGAATTATAGGGTCTTCCAATAAGAAGTTCCAAACTTTGAGTTCATAACTACCATATTGTTGAAGGTACGGAACCAAGTTTTAGATTTATTAATATAAAATCGGAAATTTTTGATATAAGCAAGTGTTATTGTTTCTTTATTAGAACACTACTGGCTACCAAGTATAACCCTAATATACCTGATCATAACGTTTTATTAAAACTATAATCTTCTTATAACCAGTTCTGAATAATTCGAAATTGTTAAATTTGGAAACGATCATGAGATCTAAGATCATTCAATGCATCTCGTGAAAATCACTCTTTGTAAGCGATAAGCGCTAAAGGTCGATGATTATTCTGAATTTGATGATATGGAAACCAACGTATGTGGTTTCAATAAGATAGCCCTACTTACCTCATAGTTTAGATCACATTGAACATTTTACACGATTATGGTCATCTCACGTGAAGATGTTATATAGTTCCACGAAGATATTGACTTTGAAAATAAGCCACAAACTGCAGCAGCTCTTAAAGCCAATAACTTCTGTCTGATGCTCCAGAATCAATGAAAATTAGTCAAAATACTATAAGAAAAACTGTCAAAGGGGCTTTCAAATGAACAACAAAGCTCGACGATATGTAACAATTTGATTGACCGAAAAATTCGGCATCCATGAAAACCGTGATAAAATGATGGTCTACATATCTGACCATTCTTGGAAAAGGAAGCCTCGCTTGGATTATTACTCAGGGAGAGTATAGTACAATGTGTTATGGGTAATCCAGAAAATAGATCGGATTACAGGTGGCTAAAATCGTTCATAAATGAAGTTCCCTTATCTCAATAGAACTGATTTCGTTGTATTATAATTTAAACAGTATTCTAAAGAATATAAAATATCCCAGCAGTTCGGTCGGACAGTCCCGAACTCCCTATTTAACGTACCATATAGGGTTACACCCAGTCACCGATTGTCCAGGTGACTAGCTATTTGAACATGTGCTTGTCCTAGGAGGAAGTCAATCGTCAGGTCATAGGTTACGAAGAGACAGACAAGTGCTTTTTAGATGTTCCCGTGACGAAAGACTAATTAGAGACAACCAGGTGGTTAGACGTTAGTGGAAATCACTGTCTTTGTCGGATGCATTAACTCTTTGTCGAACTGCAGGGATGCAGCAGAGTAGTACATATATAACCCCATTCTGAAATTATCACTCGATTCTGGTTAGTTGAAACATGTTCGATATCGCAAACATTGAAATATGTTTGGGTCGAATTTAGGTCGTCGATATGTAGTGTATATGTATGTATATCCCGGCAATATCGATAACACAAGGCGATAATTTTTTAAACCAGAGACTTTTTTTTTTCAAAGTTATCTTGGCGCTGTTATAACAACTCAAAAAGGGCTAAAAAATTGAGTTTTTTTTTAAATATTAGGGCACGATATCTCAAATCCCAGATGTGATGGAGAATACTCAGTTCAGATTCTGATTCAGCGCGTCTCTGGGTTAGACTTTTTTCAAATTTTGTCGGCCTGTGTAATTTAAAGGTCTCCTGTATAATGTATATCAATCTATGATAATGTCATTGCATTTGATCCAAAAACCCATTAAAAATATATATTTCATAAATTCCATCTAAAAAACAAGTTTAGTTCATAAAGTCCATCTTAAAAACAAGTTAGGAACTGTCCACATTTTGTAGAATGGAGCCGTAATTATTGCGATCATTCTTCTGCATGATCATGTGTATTATTTTATTAAGATCAGAAAGTGAATGTAATTTTGATTATATGTTGAGTTTGATTATATGTTAGAGTTAAAAGCTTTCTTGAGATTTTATTCCCGGATTCTTCTGACGTTATCATCACTGACGCAGGAAAAGTATTGCAGTCCTGTTTCCTATTTCTATGTCCTGTACTCCTGTGCTCGACAAAATGTTGTCTGATCTGGATCATAGAGTGTGAAGACCTTATTGCGTTAAATACCCAACTGAACTACTTATTTCTTGTATGCTATTCATGGCAGTCTAATCTAATCTATTGTTAGTATTTAGATCTCAAAAATGTTAAATGATCTTAATAATATGATCATTCTTCAGTTCTTAGATCGATTTGATATTGTTTTAAGCGGTTGGCATGTCTGGCATTGTCTTCAGGCCAGTTAGGAAAATAATAAGAACACATTTTTCAAGATAAGCGGGAACACAAGCAAAATTTTTACTATTGTTACGATAAGGCAATAAACCTGTTCCAAGGACGCGTTCAAATCACCCTTTTTAAGGCCTCAAATATCGGCACAATATACATAAGAAAAACTTTTGAAAATGTTGTAATGTAACAGTAATACAACAGTAATACAAAATAAAATGTATTTCGAAATTCATTCCAAGCAACACCGAATAAAATGTCGCTCGATCTAAAGCATAGATTATAAAAAATCATCTACAATGTGTCTAGTTATATTAACAACAATCCCCATTTTTTCTGTAAATTTTTATAAAAAATAAAATGTTAGATTTTTTAAGTAATATTTAAGAAGACATCTCAGTTGAAAAAAAAAAAAAATACTCAAATGTACTATGTATGTATGTGTTTAAATATTACAATGTTCTTAATTTTTCGAAACTATTTGTTTTAAATAGTAAATAAAATGCAATTAATAAAAATTTCTTATTAAAAATAAAATGCCAAAACATAGAAACAATTTCAAATAAAAATTAGCCTCACAAAAAAAAAAAAAAAAATAACAAAAAAAAAAAAAAAATAATAATATGACGAACATGTTTCTAAAAGAAAATAAAACAATACTATATTGTACTATTTAGGCCCTTATGCTAAGGAAAGTCAAGAGTAAGCGGCGTTTGACAGAGCCACATATTTCACCAGCTGTCTTGAGTCTCTCGTCAACAGCTGCGGCTACCTCATCTTCGTCGACGGCTTTACAAATCGCAGCAGCACAAACAAACGCCACAGCAGTGGGACCCCAACAGCAGCAGCAACAGCAACAATTACCGGATAATGCTAATGAACGTGATAAAGATAAAGATAACCAAAATGCTAATCCTACATAGAGATCACGTCCGTCCGGTCCAAGTTTTCTGTTTTCTTGTTTTTTATAAGAAAATTATTAATTTATTTTGTTAAACACTCACAAAAAAATAATAGACAAAACTAAAGAAACCAACTAAAACTATTTGTCTGTTTAAGGCTTACTGAAGAAAAAAAACAAAAACAACTTACAATAGAACTAGTTTAAAGAAAATGTTAATAGAAACAAAACACTATTTAGTATAATTAACAAAAACAAAAATATTTAAAAAATTAATAAAAGAAAAAAACCTGTTATTTGTTGCCATAAAATTTTAAATCCAAGATTGCAAGAACAAACCTAAGCATACAAATTAACAATATAAATTGAAAAATAATTAAAGCATTTAAATAACTGTTAACATAAACAAAAAACACTATAACAAAATTATACAAAAAATAAAAATAATAAATTTAATTAAAATAAAATAGTAAAATATGTTTATTTCCAAACAAAACTTTAATTTGCAAATATTTTCCAAAACGAAAAACCTAAACTAATAAATAAACAAAATACAATGTTGACATTTTCCAACACTTTTGAGCAACTAATAACTAAATATATTTTACAACTAATGAATTAAAACAAAAACAAAATCCATAACAAATTTCCCACCGTTTATTTTTTTTTTTTATAAAAATTATTAAAATTTTTACTTTTTATACTTTACACTGACACACACCTTTTTTATAATTTGCTAAATTATATTAATTTTTTTTCTTTGTTCTCTTTAATTAACTATATTTTTCACTAATTCCAAAATAAACATTGGCTTTTCTAATTTTAACTACTAATTTTTTAAAATATTTTTCAAATTATTTCTCTAATTAAAATTAATGTTACTAAATATTTATACTATATTTTTAACAATTTTTTTTAATTGAACAAAAAATTTAGTTTTTAAAAAACACTATACGAATGTTTGCTTAAGCCAATAAATTTTAGCTAATAATGTATTTGGCTTGCTTAACTAAATTTCGGTTGCTGCAAACGAAAATTTCAATTATTACTATCTTATGAATGACAGCAAATTTTAAAGCTGTGCTCTCTGTTGTCTTTGTCTAAGCAGTTATTGGTAGTGTTTTAAAAGATTAATCATATTAATAACTATATTTAGTTGTCTTAATAAAAATTTGATAAGAGTAAACAAAATCTTAATATTTTTCAACAAATTTTTTAATTCCTTGCTTACATAACGTTTTTGTTTAGAATTGTATTAAACAAGATTCTATTTTATATATTAGTTGAAAACAGCTTAAAGTTCAAATTAAAAGCTTTTATTGAAAATCATATTCATTTATACCCTTTCAAAAACAATATTCTTAATTTATTTCTAAATTAAAAGGCTTTTTCTAAAGTATTATTTTTAAAAGTTTTCTAAACCATTATTAAAAAGCTTTTTCTCAAGATTTATTATAATGTTTTTCAGTTTTTTTAACTTTATACAAAAGTCTTTTCTAAAGCTTTATTAATAGGCTTTTTCTAAACTTTTATTTAAAGCCATTTTAAAGCTTTATTAAAAAGCATGTTTAAAGCTGAATTAAAAAGCTTTATTAAAAAGTTTTTTTCTAAAGCTTTAATAAAATGCTTTTTCCAAAGCTTTATTAAAAAGTTTTTTTCTGCAGCTGAATTAAACATTTTAAATTTATATATTAAAATGTTTATTTAGTAAAATGTTTTATTTAAAGCTTTATTAAAAAGCTTTTTTCTAAATATTTATTAAAATATGTATAACTGTTATTAAGCAGCTTTTTAAAAACTTTCAGCTTTTTTTAACTTTTATTCAAAATCTTTTTCTAAAACTTTATTCAAAAGCCTTTTCTAAAGCTTTTTTAATAGGCTTTTTCAAAACTTTTATTAAAAGGAATTTTTATAGCCAAATTTAAAAGCTTTATTAAAAGGCTTATTCTAAAGCTTTGTTAAAAAGCATTTCTTAAGTTGAGCTATAAAGCTTTATTTTCTTAAACTTTATTAAAGAGCGTTTTCTAAAGCTTTATTAAAAAGCATGTCTTAAAGCTGAATTAAAAAGCTTTATTAAAAGATTTTTTCTAAAGCTTTAATAAAAAGCTTTTTCTAAACCTTTATTAAAAGGCATTTTCAAAACTTAACTTAAAAGCTTTATTATAGTACTTTTTTAAACCTTTTAAAAAGCTTTTCTATAGCTGAATTAATTAAAAAGCTTTTAATTAAATATATTTTAAAAAGATGTGAAGCTTTTGCTAAAGCTCTAAAAAAGCTTTAAATAGATACAACCTTTCTTTAATATACATATAAAATTAAGGTTTTTAAACCATATAATTGTTTATGTCTACAAAAGTCTCTCATACTTATCTTAGCTTTTTTGGAATGACATTGAAGAGCTTTTTAATTATCGAAATTAAATAAATTCAAATTTTTTAAGGAATATTTAGAAGAAACTTTTTAATGGTTAATTCTTTAAAGAATATATTTACTTTTCTATAGACATGTGCCTAAGGAATATACTTTTCTATAGAAAGTATTTAAAGAAGAATCTTTACCAATCAAGGGAAAATTCCATAATCTTTTTTGAATACAATTTTAAAGCTTTTAAATTTAAGATTTATTTTTTAAATATTTTAAAGCTTTTTGTTTACTTTACTGCTAAGTTTTAGAAGCTTTAATAAATGAAATTTTAAGTTTGGTTTGTCAGCAAAAGTAGCAAAAAAATAACTTAATTAAATAATGATTTAGCAAGTTTTATAAAAACAACTTTTATAAAAAATCTTTATCTTTATCTAAATTTTTATCATTAAAATTTTTGAAGATTTTTTTTCTAACAATTTTAAAGAAATTTCTTTAATTTTAAAATATTTTCTTTTTTTATTAAACAAATTATTTCATTTTTTAATAGTTTCTTTAACATATATGTTGAGCTTTTTTAAAAATTTACTAATTTTTTAATAATTTTACTTGTTACAATATTTTGCACACTTTTTTATAAAAAAATCTTTAATTTTTCTTATTTACCTTAAATTGACTAACAATCTTTTATAAAATTATTTTTCGAATAAAAAAACAACATTTTATAATTTCATTTTATAAAATTTTCTTCTTTTTTCTCTTTTTTATAAAAAAACTAAACTAATAATAAAAACAACCTGGATTAAAAAAAAAATAAAAATAAAAATTTACACACAAAATACACAACATAACAACAACAACATATAAATAAATTTAAATAACAATTTAATATTTTATTTATAAAAAAATTGTACCGGACGGTTTAAATTAAAAAAAAAAAACAATTAAAAAAATCAAACAAACAACTAAAGGCCACCATGTTAAAAAAAGTTAAAAACAAAATGAAACGTCGCAACACCGAACCAACTATGGCTTTAACCAACCAACAAATGGCCTTAGCCTTGCCACCCACTACAGCCGAAGGAGATTCCGAATCAGAAATACCTACCAACAATACCGATTTCTGAATATGGTACAGTGAGCGTTTGATTTAAGGTTTTTTATAAAATTAAAATGATTATTATTTCCTTAATTTGTTTTTCTCATCACAAAATAGTTTAAAAACATTTAAATACATTTAGATTTTATTTGTTAATAATTTGCTACATCATTTTTGGATTTTAGTGTATTTCTAAATAATGTTTTATTAGTTTTAAACCTTAAATTCAAATTTGCTCTAATTTAAAGCGAAAATTGAAAAGGAAAAGAAAGTAACGGTATTTAAAGAAAACATATTTTTTTTGTTATTTATTTAAATGTACGTAAACTGTAGATATTACAAACAAATTTCTAAAAAAATTTGAAATCCAATCTTTCAATATGGAAATTGACAGTTCCACAGTTAAAGTTTAGGAAATAAGGTTAATTTGAGTTTAGTAGACGAAGGAAATTTTTTAACACTAGTGTTAAGTTTAACACTAGCACTTAGACTTGAACTTAATGCTAGACTTTTAGCTGTTTTCGTTTAGTTAAACTTTAGTTTAATTTCATTAAACTTTTGTTTAGTTAAACTTGTGTTTAATTGATATTTTGTTTAGGGAAACTTTAGTCTAACAAACTGTATTTTTAACTCAATTTAAGTATTTAATTAAAATTTTATTTAAGTTTATTTAAACTTTAGTTTATTTAGACTAAGGTTTTCTTTAAACTTAGTTCTTTAAATCTGTTGTTTATAAAAAGCTTCATTTATTTAAACTTAAGTTTATATTAACTTTAAACAACATACGCTTTAGACAAGCTTTTGATGTAATAAACTTTAGTTCTTACAAACTTCGCCTAGTTAAAACTCTAACAGTTTACTTTAAAAGTTTAACTAAACTTAAGTCAACCTTAAAATCTTTAAACGTTTAACTGTGTCTATAAGTGTGCGATTTAGCAACTGTTTATATGTTTAAAATTACTTTTATTCAAATTTACAACAAACTGATATCTTTTAAAATTGATTAATAATCATTATTTTTAATTAAAGATTAAAATTCCTTTAAACGATAGTTTTATTAAAATAAAACTCTTTTTGTGATTTTAAACATATTTTATTCAAACTTTAAAATAAATAACTGAATGCGAAACAAGCTTTCAATTTTAATAAATTTGTAATAAAAGTAGCTTAATCTATTAAAATTAAAAAAATTGTAAAGTTTAACTAAACATAGTTTAAACTTTAATAAAGAATATTATCCCTTCTTAAGGTAGTGAAAGACAAGTTTCTGATAGATAAAGAAAACATTAATAAAACCATAGTTTAAACTACCATTTTTCCATTTAACTAAAGTTTAAACTTTAGTTTAATTAACTATAGTTTAAACTTAAAAGACATTTAAAATAAATCATATAATCTTGTTTAACTTGTAGCTTAAACCTTTAAAGTTAAAAAAAATTTAAACTCAGTTTAAATAACAACTTTAAATCTGAGTTTAAAGCTCAAAAGTAGCTTAAAGATAAGAAACTTTCAATATCCGTAAAGATTATAACAGATTTCTTTCGCTTTTTTTTAACAAATTTGTTAAAATTTATAACAAATAGATTTTAGCTTAAAGCTAAGTTTAAACTAAACAACAAATGTAGTTGAAATGACAACTTCAAATCAGAGTTTAAAGCTCAAAAGGAGCTTAACGAGAAGAAACTTTCAATATCTGCAAAAATTATAACAGATTTCTTTCGCTTTTTTTTAACAAATTTGTTAAAATTTATAACAAACAGATTTTAGCTTAAAGCTAAGTTTAAACTAAACAACAAATTTCAAACTCAGTTTAAATAACAACTTCAAATCTGAGTTTAAAGCTCAAGAGGAGTTTTAAGAGTAGAAACTGTCAAGATATGCAAAAATTATTTCATAATTCATTCACTTTTATAACAAATTTATTAAAATTTACAATTTTAAAAAAACTTTTCCAAAAATATGATTGGATTTAGAATAAATTTTTTTTAATAAAAACTGAAATTTATTTAAAAAACTATACAAACAACTAAATATTGTAACAATTGTAAAATAATTTTTAAAAATTTTATCTTAATTTAGTTATAAAGAAATTAGGCTCAGTTTCCGATTTATTTCTTTCCATACTTTTAATTAAACTAATAACTAAGAAACTAAGCCTTCAAAAAAAGAAAATTTCCAAATATTAAAAAACAAAATTAAGTTTATATAAAGT